TAGTTAATACATGAAAATCATATAAGATGAATTCTGTACATCGATTAGCATAATATGATTACAAGTCAATAAATGATTTTGCTAATATATTATTTTGAATAAAAATTAAAAAAATATAAAAACAAAAAGAATGATTAATAAATTTTCTTCATTCTTTGTTTTCTTCTTCTATTAATTATTTTTTCTATTATTTGAATAAAAGATGTATCGTGTGTAATAGATTAAATAGATAGATAATTTATATAAATATATAATTATACGTTTTGAAATTTATATATATATATATATATATATATATATATATATTAATTTCAATATATACATATATATAAATTATTATTTATCTATTACATACGATACGCCTTTTATTCAAATAATAGAAAAAATAATAGAAAAAATAATAGAAAAAAACAAAGAATGAATAAAATTTATTTATTTTATTTTTATTTGTTTTTATAAAATTTTTATTCACAATAATATATTAGCAAAATCATTTATTGCGACTTGTAATCATAATATTACGCTAATCGATGTACAGCATTTATCTTATAAGATTTCCATATGTGTTACTACTTTACAATACTATTATAAATAAATGTGAAATTTAATTTGCATTACTTTTATATTTTTATATATAATGAGCAGATGTAAAATATTTCTCATTCGTGTGCGTAATATATTGGTTTTTGTATTTATACTGATTTTACACATATCAAATGCAAGAGAGACAAAGATAGAATGATACTCTCTCCTTGTCAAGCTGTCAGTATGTTACCACGAAAATTTCCCCATGAGTATAGATCTAGTGAGATTTGTTCATCCCAAATATTACATAAAAAGAAGTTACGTAGCTTCGTGAAATATTTTTTAATATATTCTTTATATAATAAAGCAGGGAGACAAAGAGTCAAATTTTGCATTATTGCTCTTAAAAATTTATAATATATTAAATACGATCTCGTGGCTAACCCAACCTTACCCGCTGCTAGCTGCGCATCTTCCCAAGTTATATTATGAATTTTATATTTATCTTTTTTCCAAAAAATCGATCTTTGTCTCCCTGCGGACAATCCTACTGATTAAGAATATCGTAAATTTAATAAGATTCATTAAGTATAATATTTAAGGGGGATCGAATCCGTAATTCCCGGCCGGCCGATAGGCGTCTCCACCATGTCGCCTGTCGACCCTTAATAGACAGATCGCCAAAGGTCTGGATGAAGGAGAGACCAGCATTTCTCACTGATTTCAGCGCCATATCGTAGTAGTAGTCAATGCAGTAACTATTAATACGTTCCCAAGATAAGAGCGTCTCATGCTCATGAACTCGTCCGGCGGCATGTACGAGATTTATCTTTTCGTAGCGTTCGCGTATTTCGGAAAGGACAGAATTTTATGATGTTATAAATAAATAAATAAATAAAATATTAACCTGACCTATTATAATTATTTTTTAATAAATGTTTCATTATTATTATCATCTAAGTCTAAGTCGTTTAATTAATTTTTAGTTTTTTAATAATTAATTTAATTTATTCTAATCATTTTAATATGTGAAAAATACTAATACGTATACGTTTTATAATGAATTAATATATTTCGAGAGTCGAATTATATATTTTTAATAATATAAAAGTGTTCAAAAATTATATTTGACTTTTAATTTTAATTATTTTAGCAAAGAGTTCCGAAATCTCTTACACACATAATAGGGATTTTGTTCATCCATATAATTCGCAATTAAGTATATATGTTAATTATTAATTTTAATAAAATACAAAATTAAAATTAAAGGTCAAATATAATTTTTGAACATAAATATATTTAATTCGTTATAAAACGTATACCCGTGATAGTATTTTTCTCGTACAAAAATAACTAGAACAAATTAAATTACTCATAAAAAAATAAAAAAATAATTAAATAATTTATATTATATATGATAATAATAAAACATTTTATAAAAAAAACAGATTCAATAAATATAAGTATATATATAACATGTACTTATATTTATTGAATCTGTTTTTTAATAAAATGTTTTATAAGCTTAGAAAACTTGACTTTGACGTAACTAGCAAATTTTATTTAATTATTTCACGACGGTTTGACGTAATAAAATGTTTTATTATTATTATATAAAATATAAGTTTAAATTCTTTAATTAATTTTTAATCTTTTATGATTAATTTAATTTACTCTAATTATTTTTGTACGAGAAAAATACTATCATGGGTATACGTTTTATAATTAATTTAATATATTTGTGTTTAAAAATTATATTTGACCTTTAATTTTAATTTTTATTTTATTAAAATTAATAATTAACATATATACTTAATTGCGAATTATATGGATGAAAAAAATCCCCATTATGTGTGTAAGAGATTTCGGAACTCTTTGCTATAAAATAATTAAAATTAAAAGTCAAATATAATTTTTGAACACTTTTATATTATTAAGAATATATAATTCGGTTCCCGAAATATATTAATTCATTATAAAACGTATACGTGATATTATTTTTCTCATATAAAAATGACTAGAATAAATTAAATTAATTATTAAAAAACTAAAAAGTAATTAAACGACTTAGACTTAGATGATAATAATAATGAAACATTTTATTAAAAAAAGATTCAATAACTAGTAGGTCAGGTTATAATTTTTTATTTATTTATTTATAACATTATGAGCTATTAAGCTCATCATCTCGTTCGCTCTCTGTCTTGCTTTCATTCGGCAAGTCACAAACGATATATGATACTCGTATGTTCCTACTTCAACTCTCGAGAATCTGAAACAAACGAAACTCGTGTCCAATATACAGGGTGTCCGGTAACTAACAGACCAATGATTACAAATGGATTCTTTGGTCAATTTGGGAACGATTTTTCCTCAGCGAAAATGTCGAAAAAGGTCATCATTTTTTACAACTTTCCAATCTTTGTCATTATGTATCTTTATAACTAAGCCTTAAATTAAAATTTTATTATAGTAAACTCTACCTGAAATTAACTGAAGAATGTAATTATGTTAGACTTTTAACTCCAAAACGTTTAGTTTTCAAAAAACCTATTTTTTTCAATCGCTTATAACTCGAAAATTATTGACTTCTCAACATTTTTGCTAAGGAAAAATCGTCTCCAAATTGGCCAGAGAATCCGCCCTTAATCATTGGTCCGTTAGTTACCGGACACCTTGTATATATTATATAAAAGTGTATAGCACGTCAGAAGCTTGTGAGCTTACAGCGATAAGTAAAAACAATTGCGTATTTATTTCATTGCGTTTATCTGTTTAAACGCGCGCTTTAATTTTTCCAACGTTTTTGCCTGTTTATATTTTAAAGGTCCTCTCTTCTAAAAATCTTGTTTTAAAGATCCTCTCCGCGAGCAAAATTCGAAAACATAAATTATTTAATATTTTTACTTTATTATTTGTAAATCCTCGGTAATTTCAAAATTTTTCTATTTGAAAATTATTAATTTTCTATTGCCAATTAATTTTATCACAGACTTTACTCTTACTCCCATTGCACTTTCGTTTGCGGTTTTCAGTATACGATTTTTTATCGTAGTTACTGAAAATTATTATTGTGAATTATACTTGTGCAGTGATTTGAAGAATTTACAATTTCGTTGAAATTGTTGATTTTTCAAAAAAATTACGAGATTCGCGGAAATTGCGTGCTTTCTTGGCATTTTCCGTTCGCGGCAGGCGGTTTATTTTTGATTGTTGCAAGTGTTTTTGTTTTTTTTTTATTAAAATAGATAATAATAATGTGAAATAAATCACGATATTTGACAGATGTGCATATATATAGAAATTGTAATAATAATAATATTATATCATAAAATTGTAAATTGTTTCAATTTTTTATAGACTGCGATAAAAGATTTTACATTTGGATAAGAAACTGCGGTAAGTAAAAATATAAAATTCTTGAAAACGTAAAAATATTTGATAACGTAAAAAGGTGAACTTTGAAAAATAAGGAACTTAAAAATTGCACTAATAAATGGGCTATATATATGTGAGCCGTGCGCGGATGTAAGGTGTGTTATATCGAAATTTAATTAATAGAATTGAGAATTAATCCCAATTTTAAGTCTTACAAATGTCCAAGCTAATTTTTTGTACCTCGTGTACATTTTTGAAAGTTATATCGAAAAATTAAATTTCAATATGCGTCTTACATCTCACATTTCGCATACGGCTCACATATAGCCTATTTATCTCTTATACTTTATTTCAACCCTTATAGAAATTTATTACTAGTAACGCCAATTTATCACTTATTTCGAGTAATTAATCACTTTTATTTCGAATACTTAAATTACTGTATATTATAGTATTTTAAATACTCAAAATAAGTGATTAATTGGCGTAGTGATAAATTTCTACAAGAGAATAAGGAGCCTTTAAATTCTTAATGTAAAAAATTTCAAGTAATTTTCTTTAATAAAATTTAATTAAAAAATTTAATTAAAAAATTTTTGAACACTGTGTTATATCACATTTAAAATCGTGATTATTTCAATAAAAAAACATTTTATGTGTAAAAAATATATTTTTTATATTTAATAAATTTTATATATATATATGCATATATGTAAAATATTCTCTCTCTCTCTCTCTCTCTCTCTCTCTCTCTCTCACACACACACACACACACACACACACACAACGGGGGCCAAATCTCTCAAATTGGTCTCATGATCAATTAGCCTGGATTCGCACCAGGGGCAAAGTCTGTTGGTAATGTCAAACGAATTTAGCCTGGACTTGCACCAGGGGCAAAGTCTTTTGGTCGAGTCTACGAAATTTAGCACGGACTCGAACCAGGGGCAAAGTCTTTTGGTTCAAGTCTACGAAATTTAGCACGGACTCGAACCAGGGGCAAAGTGTGTCGGTAAGGGGCAAAGTCTATCGCACGAAGATGGCGGTCTCTTCTTTAGGCAGGCCTTTGGCGATCTGTCTATTAATCTGTGTCTCTGCTTATAATTAGCAGCGCAAAATGGGTAATCAATTAGTGGGCATCGCCCCCAGCCAAATATTTCCAGTAGAACACTATTTGACGGATCATAGCGATTTATTGTTCGACGTAAAGTAAGTACACTTAATCCAATCACTTCTACTTTACATATGCATATATATTTTACTAGTAGAATACGTGAACAATAATTGTCAAATCGTTGAAGCGATCTGTCTTATGATAAAATCAGCTCATTGATTATAAAATCATTACGTAAAAATAATTCAAGGTACTGATAATAATATTACGAACAATATCAAACATATTTTACTATTTGTTGACAATCCTTCATTGTATTTCACATGGTTTCTTGTATGATTTACATTATACATTATGTATTATAATTGAGATGCCGCATATGTAGAGAAATTTTGAGGAAATATTCTTAATAACAATATAAAATTATGAGATGGTATTGAGTAATATTTTATAATTTTATAGTATTGATTAAAGCTCCAGCTGCTGATTACAAAATTCTTTATCATTTATAGCTTAGGAAGTACTAGATTTTTCAAAGTGGCTCGAGCTCGCAGCCAGGAAGGCCTGATAGTTGTAAAAGTGTTTGCAATTCATGACCCAACATTGCTATTATCTACCTATAAGGACAAGCTAGAGGAGATTAGATCAAAGTTAGCCTCAGCTGTCAACTGCCTACCATTTCAACGAATGATTGTGAGTATTATAACAACTACACTAAATATAGTAGCTTCTTTAGAAATTAAAATTAATTGTATGTTTGGATCAGCTTACAGAAAAAGCAGGCTCAATAATGCGGGAATATGTTAAATATTCCCTTTATGACAGAATCAGCACTAGACCATTTTTAACAAGCGTTGAAAAAAGTGGATTATTTTTCAAGTATTGTATGCTCTTCATCAAGCTCATAAGGTATGAAATATATATTAAGCATTTAAAAGAAGATAACTTATATATATATATACACATATATGAACAATAGCTTATAAGAAATAAACATTTTCTAAAGCTATTCTATAAATTTATTGTTTATTATTAGTGTTATTTTGAGATTTATTTATTCTAATAAAAATATTTTCATTAGAATTTTTAAGAATTAAAAAAATATTTTATTTTCTCATATATATATAGTTTGGAGTTTGTCACGGTGACATAAAATTGGAAAACATTATGATAACCAGCTGGAACTGGGTATTACTCACAGATTTTGCAAGTTTTAAACCAACATATTTACCAGAAGATAATCCAGCAGATTTCTCATACTTCTTTGATACTTCCAGAAGAAGGTAAATTTTTTACTAAAGCTTTTATTGAGCTTCATTAAAAATTTTTTTTTTTTTTACTGTAAACATAATCTTTAATATTTTCAGAACTTGTTATATAGCACCTGAACGATTTGTGAAAACATTATCTTCAGAATTAAGCAATACCTTGTTATTGCCAGAACAAGAAGTAAAAACAGGCGATCTGCATCCCATGATGGATATCTTTTCTGCAGGCTGTGCTTTAACAGAATTATATAATGAAGGACATCCACCATTCGATTTTCACAACTCTTAGGTATATATTATTTAATTTAATTGATAGGAGAGTAGTTTTAGAAGTACTATTTATCTCTTTAATATTTAAATTGAAAAAAAACTTTATTTTTCTTAATATATCTACATCAATTAAATATATTTATGTATTTTACTGTATTAAAAATTTTTTTCTTTTTCTTATTTTTCGAATTACGATTAAAACATTTATGAAATATAAGAAATATAACAGAAAAGCCAGTCTTGTGCAGTAAGTGTAAAAAATGTTACTAATTATCAAAATTATATTGAAATAGCATACAGGAACAATGAATATTCAGTAAACAAACACTTGGATAGTATAGACGACCCAGGAATACGAGAGTTGCTTGCCTCGATGCTCGAAAGAAATCCAGTAAACAGGAAGAGTGCTGAAATTTATCTGGCTCAAGCTCGCGGTATCATATTTCCGGAGTATTTTTATTCCTTTCTACAGTCTTATATGCTCATTTTTCCGCTGCTCCAATTTTATCACCAGACGAAAAAATAACTAGATTAAAGAAGGACATTGGCAATATTATAAGTATATTAAGGACAGAAGAAAATGAACGAACGAGAATGAGCGGAACGAAATCTGTAGAAACAAAATCTGGCCAATGCGAAAGTAACATGGAATCGATGAAGGACGATTCTGGTCATAGTGAGGAAAATACTATGGTGGAAGTCGACAGTGATCAAAGCTCCGATAAAACCGATTTGAACCAACTCGACATGAAGAGTACAACTCAAGACGTTAGTAGTGAAATTCAAATAGAAGTGGAACCGGAGTTTAAAACATCCATGGACAAACAAACGTGCGACGAAGAATCGCAGAAACCAATTTTGGCCTCGACTGACATTCTAGAAGGACTCGTTATCATAACTCAACTTGTTACATCTTGCATAAGAGGATTACATCATTCTCAATCTAAATTATATAGCTTAGAAATATTATTAGAGCTAGCTGAAAATGTTTCTGATGAAACAATTCTTGATAGAATATTACCTTACATCGTAAGTATTAATATATTATTTAGAAATTTTTTGAATAGAAATATATTAAAATAAATATTATTTGTTAATTTATATTTATTAACTAAGAAATTCCTTAATATTAAATGAATTAATTACTGTATGTTTTTCATATTATTTTTAATTAATATATTCTTATAATCTTTCTTTTGCAGTTCCATCTGGTTCACGATCCAGCACCGCGAGTAAGAGTATCGGCGATACATACTCTAACAAAATGTTTACATCTTGTGAAATCGATACCACCTTCGGACGTAAACATATTCCCCGAATACATTCTGCCAGGTTTAGCACATATAACTCAAGATGAGGCAGTTATTGTTAGGGCAGCTTATGCGGAAAATATTGCACACTTGGCGCATATCGCTTTACGTTATTTAGAAAATGCTCATCTATCTAACTTGAACAACAAAGAGGGACCAAAGCCTAGTTATGATAGTGAACTGCAAACCTTGCATGAAATGGTACAGATATATTTTTCGTATCATTTTTATCAATAAAGTAACACAATAGTATAATTCATGGAATTTTTATTATTAGAATCGTCTGAAACATATATAATCAAATTGATTTATCTTAATAATGTTTTCTATATTTTTATTTTTAGGTCCAACAATCAGTTTCGATGCTGTTAACAGACCCCCAAAATTTAGTGAAACAGACTTTAATGGAGAGTGGAATAAATAAATTGTGTGTATTTTTTGGTAAACAAAAGGCAAACGATATTTTGCTTAGTCATGTTATCACATTTTTAAACGACAAGGAGGATAAGGAATTGAGAAGTTCCTTTTTTGAATGCATAGTGGGTGTGGCTGCATATGTGGGTTGGCACAGTAGCCCCATATTAATGCCACTTCTGCAGCAAGGTCTATCTGATCCTGAAGAATTTGTAACCACAAAGGCCATAAATGCTATGGCAACACTTACAGAATTAGGTCTGCTACATAAATCTGCTCTCTACCAACTATTATCAGAAACTATGGTTTTTCTGGTATGTTCAATTATTGTATTACTGTATTATTATGTAATAGATTTGATAAATAATTGATTTGATTTATATTTTGATTATACTTTTTTCTAATAAGATTTTATTTCTTTAATAGATATTTTTTTAAAGAATTTTTTAGTAGCATTTTAAGTTCAAATTTAAAAAATTCAAGTTTAGATTTGTAAAAGAATTTGATTGAAAAAATTTTAATTGAAAACATCTTTGCATATTGGCACGATTAATTTATACATACAGTTTTTGTAGGTCCACCCAAATTTGTGGATACGTCATGCAACCGTTGGCTTTATATCAGCAGCAGCGAGAACTCTAAATGTGGTGGACGTTCAGTGTAAAGTTCAGACAATGCTTCAACCGTACTTAAAACATTCATTGATTCAAATAGAAAAAGAGATTTTATTGTTGGAAGCTCTTGTTCCTCCTATATCCAGAATAGTATACGACTCTGTGGTAAAATATAACGACGTGGAAGAGTTGTTTCAAGTACTTGAACAAAGACAGGCAGCCAGAGCGAAAGCTGTGATGGGTGTTGTGCCACCACAATATAATGATATGAGTACCTCTTTACGAAATGTAAGTAATATTGATTAGCGTATATACTTAAAATAATATTGAAGAAAGCCATATTATTACATAATAAATTATTATATAATAAAATATTGAAATAAAGATATAAACAGATGTGCGTTGTATGTTTATTATATTGTATGCATGCCTTGAAAGAAATAAGAAAGAAATTAGAATAAAATTATAAATTATTTTTCAATAGCACTTATTACTGTGTATTAAAAAAATCACAAGTATATCTTTTTTTAGCTTTTTAGGCGACTGAGTTCGGAGTCGATGACGGAGGCAGTTGAGAATCAATTATTAATCATGAAACCACACTTGATGAAAATCAACAAATATCGTTCAGCAGACACGAAGCAAAATGCTATAAAGCCTGTGGATGGCAAGCTGGAACTAAGTCCAGTGAAGGACAGGATAAGACATCATGTTGTCATGTTGTACTCCGATACGAAAGGAGATCTGACCTTGCCACCCTTCAAGAGATTAGATCGAAGAACATCGGACACTGTTGGCACATATGCAACGATGAATCAGGAATGGCGCACGATGTTTGCAGCTCAAGACAATGTCCAGGTAACAAAGTTAATATCGATAATTATTTATTTTTATATTTTTCTATGCTAATTATAATAATTATTATTTTGTTGTGTGTACGATAGCATGCTATTGTTAAAATGTCAGACATGACTGGAAGCAGTGGTAGTCCTAGTCAGAGCATACATAGTGGAGATATTCATTTATCCCTCACCATTGTCTGTCAGAGATGACCAGCATTAATTCTCTTATGAACGACCATTCGCTCCATGAACGGTCCTACATACAATGTAAGTGAAATTAATGAAAATATTAAGGTAATATCGATTTGTTTGAGGATGCTTTTGAGGATAAGATATATTATTTATATATATTTTATAAGAGATATATATATATATATATTTTTATAAGATATTTTTTGTAAGTTATATTTTATAAGATATATTTGTTTCAATATAGAAAAATATATTGAATGAGAAACATTGATAATTTTGCAGATAGATGCGCACCATGTCGATTAGAAGTACGGCAATTAACGTGTCGAAAGCAGGAACAACATACGGCAATATTAAAGGCGAAGCGTTGGGCTAATAACTTCTGTGAACCCGGTAAATAAAATATATAGTTTTTATATTATTTATTTATTTTTATTACGATATGATTTATTATTTGTTATCGATGTTGCTTAAAAGGTTCCACATCGATGCCGAAAGATTGGAGACCCCGGGGAATTCCGGTCGCGCATCTTCACGAGCATCGAGCCGCGGTGAATAGATTGGTTCCGATACCGGATACCAGTTTATTTGCAAGTAATTCTTCCGACGGATGTATTAAAATTTGGGACGCCAGTAAAATGGAAGGACGAAATATCGCTAATCGTTCTAGGTACACACTTTCTTTTCTAAATCGTATAAAAACACATTGCGTTTTTTTTCACGCTTCATAATTATATTATTTTCTCAAATTTAAAATGATACACTTTCTGATGTATGTTTTAAATAGGCAAACGTACATGCACAGAGGAGGTCCACTGGTGGGCTTAACCGTGTGCGATCAAGGACAATCTTTAGCTAGTTCTGCGAGTACGTCTGGAACTGTATTCGTACTACGGATTGAACCAAATTCTAGTAAAATGAGTCTAATTGGCACTCGTCAATTAGATCTTCAGGTGAGATATTTCTGTAATAATAATATAAACGTTCGATAGACAGAAGTGTTTAAAAAAAAATATTGTTTACGATTGATTTAACAGGAAGAAGGATGTGCTGTTGATCTTCAGTATTTAGATTGCGGTTCGCAATCAGTTCTCGTGTATGCTTCGTTATATGGATCGCTGGTAGGCTGGGACTTGCGATGCCCGGGGACAACGTGGCGTTTGGAGAACGATTTGAAACACGGAGTCATCACGTCGTTTTGCGTAAATAGTCATCAGCAATGGTTGACTCTCGGTACGAGTTCGGGTATTCATACTTGTTGGGACTTGAGATTTCAACTGCCGATAACGAGTATTAAGCATCCAACAGGTAGATTATTTATATTGATTATTTCTGTGTAAAAGTAATGTAGTTTAGTACATCTATCATTGTTTCTAATATTATTAACATATTTCTTTTAGGTGCCAGAGTACGGAAGGTTATTACGCATCCAACGGAACATTCGTGGATAATCTCGGCTGTACAAAGTAACAATGAGATCTCTATGTGGAATTTGGAGACTGATCATCGACAAATGGTACTCTGGGCATCTAGTGCCCCTCCGTTGAGTCGCACTCCGGTCGGTCATAGTGTATGTGCCATGTACGCTGGATGTATCGATTGCTCAGGCTTCCTCTTGGCCGGTGGTACCGATATGCGATTACGTTTCTGGGATTTCAACAGGCCAACCGCATCTTATGTCGCTCTGCCTGCTGCTAACGATGTTCTCACGCCAAATTCATTAGCATATGAGTCAGTGATCAATAAAATATAAAATTTTTATTTTATATACATTGTATTACTCCACGATAATGTATCATGATATCATTTCTCTGTTTATAGTTTACGTTTAATAGACGGAACGAACGTTGTGCAAGAAGTATTGGTAGACGATGAGTCTAATCCGTCATCCGGAAGTGATGCGAGAGGAAGAAATATAGAAGAGAGCGGCCCCGAGACTTCACCTTCAGGACAACATGACACAATTTCTGCTGTGACTATGTCGAATATGTGCATTCTCACTGGGAGCACGGACGGCCTAATACAAGTTTGGAAATGATTGTTTTTCCAATGCTCCATAACTCGATTCCAAAGTTCCTCGCTCGGACGACAAAAGATTTTTTTAACAGTGCAATTGTGGATTTGTAAAAAAACGAAATCATTGTGATTCAAGTAAGGAATAAGTTGTTCTTGAAAATAATCCAATAGGTGAATTGTTCAGCAATGTGAATTGTCTGAATAATTATAGTATAATTCATTTAATGACAGTCGGAGGAATCGTGATAAAACAGCATGGATATGCCACAATATTTTTTATTTTGGCAAAAATTAGTAATATATTTTTAACAATTTTGTAATTGTTGTTAACATCAGGACTCGTTGCAGATTATGGTGATATCACATTCACTGTGTTCAAATTAACTCTACCAATTACATCTATTTGTTTGGTTTTAAATAATTTTTTTTTTCAGAGAAAATAAAATTTCTTAATAAAATTTTATAGATAAATTACATACAAGTAAGAGAAACATAATTTACAATTATATTTCAATTTAAATTTTTATATTTTACATGATTCAGTTTACTCTTGGATAATGTTAGAATGATTTTTATTGTTTTCTTAAATCATTTATATAATATCAATGTACATACGATGTTGCCGTGCTGTACTAATTCTGTGATTCTCTCTTTGGACTGTATATAGAACATGTAATATACATGATATTTAAGATTACCAGTGATTATAATTGTACTGTAAAAGTGCATTTAAAAAAAATCGAAGGTAAAAATTTACATTATATTATAAATTCACATTATACTATAATAATGTATAATAGTGTATATAATTTATTTTTGTACGTAAAAGACAGAGAAAAAGATAGCTTGGAATATTATTAATATATTAGATTGATGTAATGGATTTAGAATGTCTATATTACACAAATTGACAAACAAATCCTCGGATAAGTTGCTTTTAAATTAGCAGATACTTGATAAGTCCATATGCACACCTTAAATTTAACATTAAAAGATATTGTGCTAGTGCAAATTGATTTTGCAGCATAATCAATGCTCTTTTATTATAAAATGTTTAAAACATTAATTCATAAATTGTATTTTCACATATTGCTCAATTTTTTATTCTGACGTTTGTAGTGCGCTTTTTCTCTTTTTAATTCAACACAAGTATGAATGCAGACTAAGAAACGAAGTATAATAAGATTTCTGTACGAAGATGCAAGACAATTGTTTCCTCGCTTCATACTTTACATGCTGAACACGTTACAGTAAGTAACTATGTGTAATTGCGTCAATATATTTATGTATACTATTTTGCATTATCACACACACATAAACAAATACACATATAAACATACCGACTGAAATACTCATAATCACTGGATGTATATTGTCCAAAATGATATAGGTTGTTATAATAAATCATATTTTTAACGCATGCTACGAGTTCTTGTTTGGCACGACAGATTGGAAGTTTGATCGAAAGTTTCTTTTACCAGGGACAAACAGGTGCGGCAGGATAAGGCACGCGTCCTGGAAATGCATATGAATCGGGATTTATCGTCCTGCAGATCTGCTTCCAACGTTCTTTACCGCCTCTGCCTTGACGATATTGTTGATACGAAGCATCTTCTCCGTTTGGATAGTATCCGGTATTTTGATTGTCGTATGAGGATTGTCGAGGAAACCATAAATCGAGCCAAGGTACGCAACAAGAGGAACTGACTAATAATAACAGTAGAAAGATTAGCTTCATTTTAATTGCATCGCTTGGAATTTGATGGTTTTTATAATAATCTTTCTGTGATGAGATCTGAAAGGAGAGAAGGAAGATTATTTTCTCCGTCCTTGTATTTTAAACACTTTAAACAAATTTTTATATTATTTAATTATTTATATATATTTAGTATTCTATTTTTTTTATTTTCTAAAACAAAATTTTAAAATAAGATCTGAAAGATTTTAATTGTCTCTTAAATTTGATATTTTGTGGATTCTCTCTTAGCTATTTCTAGAAAAATATAATCTAGATTTTGATGTATTCAAATAATTCGAAATAAATTTGTATTAAAATGAAATTCTCGTAAAATCATATAAAAAAAGATTATTATTCATTTATAGTTTCTCAAGATTGACTTGATTTCTCATTAAAACAACTATTTTCTTTACAATTATTCTGATCTGTAATATTTACAATAGTACAATGCCTATAATAGCATTAAACAAAAAATGAAAATTTCGTTAATTATAATTAATGTCTGCTAATTTTAGCATTTGTAACAAACACATGTAGCATAGAAGTAGACGAAATAGGAACAAAATATTTACGCACCGAAAGATCGTATAATGAAAATGCGTTGCGTCACGGATTCGACGCGTTTTCTTATTGTGACTTTCAAATTTCACACTTCTGAATCGTCGTAACACACAATGTGACATTTTCTCAGATACTCCAATGTTTTCAATGCTGGATTGTAATACGTAGTATTTAGTCTTTATTATGTAATCTTCCGATTATGTACAATTTAAAAAATGATAAAGTAGTACAATTCTGCGAATTAATGTACCAAAATGCGTATGGATAATCGACTTCTGTCTGCTTAATCACGCGAAGAGTTGTAACAAGTTTACTACTGCAATGAAGAGATACTGGATGCTTACTGCTGTTTTATATAGCATCTCAACTTACCGCCCTACCGCTCAGAAAAATCGCTTCGGCTAATGATGAATTCATTTCGCCTTTTGATGAAGAATCCGCATACATCTTCGATCAGTAAAAAATATATATATAATAGTCTACGATTATTTATATATTATCTATATGAATATTTTAATTATAATATGATTTATATTGAATTACTTATATGAAATATTATATGAATATTTATTTATATTATGCTTAATGAGCTAAAAAGCATAAAATACAAAATATCTTATGTTTTCTCTCTCTTAAATCTTTTTATGAAGTGTAGTGTATAATTTTTTATCTATAGGTGTATAATATGTAATTGTAAATCCTCTGTCAAAGATCTAGTTTATCTAAAAAATCTAGATATAATTTAGTTCACAATCGATATTTCATACATTGTACAGGTATATTATCGTTGATTCTTTTTAGAGACATTTTATTATTTTATAGATACTTTGTGAGTGTATTTGATATTTTAAAAGTATATCTTTTTTTATCTATTTCTATAATATATTTTTTACGATTTATAAGTTTAAATTATATCAGATAAATTCTAGATCTTCCATTCTTTTTTTTGCGATGCGATTCTGAAGAAACGATGACTTAGAGAGATTACAAGAGATCTAGTAAATTCAATTTTTATTTCCTCGATTTAGAATTCTGCACGTGATAATAAAATGACGCACGTGTTTGCGCGTTTTTGAACTTGGGGAAGGCCCCTTTCCATTGTCTATACCGATTTATATGCAACATTCGTAGCGCTTATTTGTTCTCTCGTTCATATTCTGCGCACATAAGAATATCGTTCGCAGAAAATACAGAATGAGATAAATGTGACTAAAAGGCTGATTCTATATAATAATCACTCATTTGTCTGGCATGTCTTGAAAATGCCACCATTGCACCTTGTGATAATAGCATTTTCACCTATTGCCTTGCAAAAATTTATATTTGTCAATCTGGTCAATTATTTGTTTGCAAACAAATGCATCTGATTATATTGTAATCGTTATTAGATAACATACAATTCCTCGATTAACATATGGAATGTTTAATTTATAAGTCACACTTCCCGCTCGAGTTTGTGTGTGTATATGTGTGTATATTCGCGAATCCAATATTCTGCATGAAATAATATAATAATATTAATAATATAATATAATGTAAATATATTAGAATATGAATATATTTATTATAATATGAATTTATTATACAATATAAAATAATATAATAATTTTCCATAATATTGTCAGTATGTTGTTGCGTGTCGTGATGCGTGCATTCGATTATAAAATGCATTCGTAATGTATGCGTTTCCTAGATGAGATTGCGAGAGAAAAAAATTGCGTGACCTATATTATAATATATGTATGTACAATTCGCGCAAGATGCGATTCTTGCGAGTTGTGCAATTTTCATCGTCGCGTCTGTCTTTTTCGCGCGCTAGCAAACTTGATTGGGAGTTGCTCTACATTCGAATATTATGTCAAGGACGTTGTTTGTGAAGATATTAATGGATTATCTTGCCCGCAAACTTGACATACTTTTCGCGCTATGAAACCAATCGCACAAATGGCATAAATTGCCCTTTACTCCTTAAATTCTCTGATATGTATATATATATTTTTAAGATATTTTTAGATAAGATACCTATTAGCAGACATTTATGCATCGCATTTTTGTATCATTTTTACTTGGTATTGTCTAAATTACACTTAACATCTTGACAATACATAAAATTTAAATATTAAATATTTGAACAAAGAGAAGATTTTAGATTTAAAAATTAAATTTACAGAAGTTTGATAAAATGATTATTAGCAATTATGTTAATTGTTGCAATAATTTCTGATCTAATATAATATGATTTTTTTTCCAGTTCGTAATCCTACTTAGAAGGAAAGAAATGTTATCTTTCTCAATCAGCATTAATACATATCAGCATCCCATGAAGTGTATCTTACTACAGTCATCAAGCTTCTTTCCCATTGATTATTCATCATTTTATCATCTGTGCAATCTCCTGACCTTATTCACATTACAGGTAATTTTATAAAAAACTGTTTATAAGATATTGGCAATGCAATTATTTTTAATTACATATAATAATATTGGGTTGTATTACGTATAATAAAAAAAAGATTGATTTAAGTATAAGTAAATAACTCGTGTCATCTTGACAAGTAACTCATTGGAAATAATGAAGCTTTTATTATCGAAATTAATTCACAAATTGCAAATAACAATCATTTCACACAACTTATGTACGTTCGACGAATTATGAATATTTTTTGGAAGTTCCCGGATTACGTAATCATAAGTTATCAACTCAATTTGTTCTGCAATTTCCTATTATCGTAACAGTTTCCAGTCCATCTAACTATTAATAGCATTTGGCAGAGAAACGCAATTTTATACGGAAAGGCTCGTAATAGACGATTTTTTAAGGTTTAGTTCGTTTTGCGAAATTTAATTATATAGCTTACTTATAATTATTTGTATTAATAAATCACAATGATAATATAACTATATTTTAAATCAATTTATTTTTTTTGTTAGATCAAAAAGTTGAAAATGTCCGGATGATGTCCAGTGCGCCTAAAGATCATCCAGACACCGCTCTTGCGTCGCTTCTCGTCGAGATTTGCAGATATGCCAAGCTAAATCGTCTAAATATTTTGGCTACTGCAGACTTCATCGTCAAAACTGCTTGGTACAGCTGGCTGCAGCAGTCAGTTTTGCTTCGTTCGTAAAAAGCATCGATCGTCGAGTCGTTTCGTTGTGTATCTCTTCGAATTCTTTCAAATGTCAAATTTAAACAATGTCGACGATAAAGACAACTATCAGTCTCTTCGCCGATCAAGCTTATCGATAAAAATGCAACGTAGTCTAAGGAAAGTGAGAAAAAGTATCCAAAAAATTACTGGTACGTTAATCTCTTTTTTTAATGGCACAACAATTGCTACGAATTAAATTAGATTCTAGAAATATAATAATGTAAAAGATTAGCTTAAGAGTACTTTGGTAATTTTTTTTAATTTGGTTTTTAATTTTGTAATAACTGAATAACTGCGTATAACAATTATTAATATATCTACTCTTGAAAATTTGTAAGAAAAGAGAAAAGAATGTTAAATGCATAGCGAAGTTAAATTTCTATTAATTTTCCAATGGTTTAAAAATTATCATTATACATTTAATTATTTTTTTATAGAGAGTATTCTGGAAGATGATAAGCATTCGTTGTACATCTTTCCCGAGCAACTATCAATTCTAACTTGGCGCACCGGTTTCTCCAAAGATGAAATTCGCAAGTTGTATCACTCCTTCAAACAATTGTGTCCCAGGGGATGTGCGATGACTGGCGATTTGAAATCCGCGTACACCAAGTTGTTCCCGTTAGGCGATCCAGCCAAGTACGCGCAAATCGTGTTCAACAGTTTCGACAAGGATGGTGATGGTATTGTTAACTTCAGTGATCTTCTCAGAGTTATGACATTGATTATCAACGGTAATATGGATCAAAAACTTTCCTGGATATTCGAGTAAGGATCTATTTCGCCTTTTTATTTCTTATTTTAACATTAATTTGATATTAATAACGAGTTCCCACAATCGTGAAGATTAAGAGAAAGATACATTATTGTCTATTCCATAATATATTCGTTACACAAATCATGGAAGAATTAATTAATTTATTATTAAATTTTTTGACTTATTTAGAATTAATTTTTATCAACTAAAGACATTTTTTTCTATAGTTAGATAGTCTCGAAAGTAGTGGAGATGACGGACGCAACGCGAAATCTCTTTGGATTTACTGTTTATCAGGTTGTACGATCTGAATGGGGACGGTTGCATTACAAGACAAGAAATGCTAATCATAATATCTGCGATTTACGAGATGGTGCAGGACGCACAGAATGTTGCCCAGTCCATAGTTGACAGCCAAGTGGACAGATTCTTCGAAAAAATGGATGCGAATAGAGATGGTGTAGTCTCCAGAGAAGAATTCATGAGCGGTTTAAAAATGTACGGAAATATGTCATATTTTATGTTATAAGAATGCCGTATATAATTTGAGTTTAACATCAGAAGGACATTCGAATAAAAGTTTGAAGAGCATCTTTTTTATATATTAAATATAGTGAAACGTTTTTTTATAAGACATATTATTATAATTTTAATATTAATCAAAAATGTAACAGATATAACTTACACAATTGTTTTGTCAGACCTTTTGATGTTAAAGTTCAGCACAAATTAGTAGGTTTTACTTTAATAATAGCGAAAATGATATATGTATACGAGAAACAAGTATCATAACAAAATTAAACAATCATATATAGTAGGCCAACTAAACGAGCAAATAAATAAGATGTAAAAAATTTTTTTATTAATAGTTAAATCATTAAATTAACATTCCGTTACAGAATCGATATAAATTGTAAACGTTTCGACTGCACTACAGTCTTTATCAATACATAAAAATTAAATATTAAAATATAAAGTTAGATGTTAAAAATACAAAGTTAGTTAAATATTAAAATATAAAATTGAAACGATTCTTCGCTGTTGACCAATAGATATGCAAGGCGATTGGTCTGAGATGCCAAGTTATGCGACATTTGAGCATGCTACGGATATAATACGCGAATTAAATCAATGTCAGAAAAAATTAAAAAATCTTTCAACTTACATTATCGTTTTAACAAGTCCTTTTCCCCGATATTTCAAGTGTGTGTTGCGAAGTCTGAATACCAAATGTCAAAATAGAGAGCGTGATGTATTTATTTATTACCAATGTTTTTTCTAAATTATGATTCAGCAAATTTTTTAAGTATGTCAAAATAACTACTGTCTAACAATTCGGTGTCTGTATTTAAATTAATTCCATTTTTCTGTTCTTTAATGTGGATCATTTCAGATATTAGTCTTTTTTGGTAATTCTTTTCATGATCCATAATTTTAATATTGTCCCAGTCAAATGTATGTTGTTCGTTTAGAATGTGTTCCGTGATAACCGAATGTCTAGCAGAGTCTAATTTAATATTATTTTTATGTTCTTTAAGTCTCGTTCCTAACTGTCTTTTTGTCTGTCCGACATATGTGGCGTCACAATCGTTGCAATTCAATTTGTAAATAACGTTAGAATTCGTGGGGCAATTATTTTTGTCCTTTTGAACTCTTATGAAGTCATTTAATTTTTTAATGCAACGATATCCTACCACTACGTCAGGTCTTCTTATTGCTGAAGCAACTTTCTCAGATATTGATTCTATATATGGTATGACAAAATATTTAATGTTAGTATTAGTATTATTAGTATCTGTTATATTGTTATTATTAGGCTTGTTAAATTTCTTAGTTGAGAGATTTTTTAATCTGCGTTTTATTTCTGTGAAAATTAGATCAAGAGGATAACCGTTGGATAGCAAAATGTTAATAGCTTTCTCTATATTTTTTTGTGAAATTGCGGATGAATTCATAGGTATGATAAAATTTATATTAACTTCTACATTTTTCACTTTTAATAACATAACTTACAAACAAATTTATGGGACTCCTATGGGTTCCCCACTTTCTCCGATCATTGCCGATATAGTCATGCAGGACTTGGAAACATCAGTAATTAGTAATTTAAATTGCGAAATGACTTTCTATTTCCGTTATGTAGACGACATTATTTTATGCACTTCCGCTGACAATATTACATATGTTTTGAACGAATTCAACAATTATAACGATAGACTACAATTTACATTGGAAAAGGAGGATAATCGTTGTATAAGCTTTTTAGACATAATGATCAAAGTAATAGATAACAAAATTTATTTAGATTGGTATCACAAAAAGACATTCTCAGGTAGATTACTTTCATTTTTTTCAAATCATCCGACTTGTCATAAAATAGGAACAATTTATAACTTGGTAGATAGAGCTTTATTACTATCACATCCGCAATTTCACAAAAAAAATATAGAGAAAGCTATTAACATTTTGCTATCCAACGGTTATCCTCTTGATCTAATTTTCACAGAAATAAAACGCAGATTAAAAAATCTCTCAACTAAGAAATTTAACAAGCCTAATAATAACAATATAACAGATACTAATAATACTAATACTAACATTAAATATTTTGTCATACCATATATAGAATCAATATCTGAGAAAGTTGCTTCAGCAATAAGAAGACCTGACGTAGTGGTAGGATATCGTTGCATTAAAAAATTAAATGACTTCATAAGAGTTCAAAAGGACAAAAATAATTGCCCCACGAATTCTAACGTTATTTACAAATTGAATTGCAACGATTGTGACGCCACATATGTCGGACAGACAAAAAGACAGTTAGGAACGAGACTTAAAGAACATAAAAATAATATTAAATTAGACTCTGCTAGACATTCGGTTATCACGGAACACATTCTAAACGAACAACATACATTTGACTGGGACAATATTAAAATTATGGATCATGAAAAGAATTACCAAAAAAGACTAATATCTGAAATGATCCACATTAAAGAACAGAAAAATGGAATTAATTTAAATACAGACACCGAATTGTTAGACAGTAGTTATTTTGACATACTTAAAAAATTTGCTGAATCATAATTTAGAAAAAACATTGGTAATAAATAAATACATCACGCTCTCTATTTTGACATTTGGTATTCAGACTTCGCAACACACACTTGAAATATCGGGGAAAAGGACTTGTTAAAACGATAATGTAAGTTGAAAGATTTTTTAATTTTTTCTGACATTGATTTAATTCGCGTATTATATCCGTAGCATGCTCAAATGTCGCATAACTTGGCATCTCAGACCAATCGCCTTGCATATCTATTGGTCAACAGCGAAGAATCGTTTCAATTTTATATTTTAATATTTAACTAACTTTGTATTTTTAACATCTAACTTTATATTTTAATATTTAATTTTTATGTATTGATAAAGACTGTAGTGCAGTCGAAACGTTTACAATTTATATCGATTCTGTAACGGAATGTTAATTTAATGATTTAACTATTAATAAAAAAATTTTTTACATCTTATTTATTTGCTCGTTTAGTTGGCCTACTATATATGATTGTTTAATTTTGTTTAATTTATACGAGCCTTTCATTAATTAATTTTAATAAACGCTGGCCTTATAATGCGTGTGACTAATTACCCGTTTAAATACCATCGTTTTAATTCTAGTTTTATTTATAACTATTTTGGTCTAGAAACGTTAAAACATTTTAAATCTTGGCTAAATTTTAATTATGCGATAATTAAGGCAATGTCGAAGTTGAAATTTTTAAGGGAATGTAAGAGATATTGTTTGTTTCCCAACCATTTGCGTAATTTCTGTAATAATAAATTTGTTTTCTACCACTATAAATCAAAAAATAGGATGCGTGGTTTGTTGCATAATATCAAAACTGAAATTCTTAACATAGAGATATTTGATTTATATAGAACTTTAAACTCACTTAATAAAAAACGGTCAAGACAATTCCAAATTCTCCAAAATCTTTTACCATCTTATATCTGGCAGGAGATTTTAAATCACCATTGCAACTCCTTTTCTTTGTTCAACCAAAAATTATATCTCATACATAAGAAAAAATTCCTATGGCTACGTAAATCGCATGAAACAGAGTACATTAAAAATATTGATCCTATCGAATTAAAAACAACATCTTCGACAAATATTGTTGATAACACTGTTTCTGCCAACAGTTTTCGTTATGCTACACATAACCCTTTACAACAAACTAACCAGAAATGGTTTATTAATTTAACTGATAAAAAAATTCCCCCCAATGTAACCAATCTATTACAATTGGGAGGTGAATTTAGTCTCCCAGTTAAATTAAATAAAAAAGTAGCTATACACGAATTCATCAAAGATATAGAAAGCAATTCTAACGGGATCAGAAATCTTACTTCGATTCGTAATGCTGCCATTCCACAATTTTCATTATTTTTAAACAATAACGACAAAAAAACGGACATACAAGAAAAATTATTTCACATGCATAAAGACACAATTAAATTCTGCAATCAAAATCCTAATATTTTATTTACCAGAGCAGATAAAGGCAGCATTACAGTCGCACTAGAAAAAGAATTTTATATAAAAAAAGTTGAGAGTCTCCTAGAAGACGATTCTACGTATACCATAGTTAAAAACAATCCATCAACAAAAATAGAAAAAGACCTCAATATTTGTTTAAAAAAATGGTTGAAAAAAGACTTCATCAACAAAAAAGAATATTATTATTTATTTTCAAGCGACTCTCTTCTTCCTAAAGCTTATGGGCTCCCCAAGATCCACAAGGAAAATATTCCTTTTAGATTAATAGTTTCCTCAATAAATACTTCTCTATATAATATTGCTTCTTTCTTTCATAAAATTTTAAAAGATAGCCTTCCTAGAGCGGATAGTTTTGTAAATAACAGTTTTGATATATGCAACATTCTATCAGGGAAAACAATACAAGATACCGACATAATAGCTTCATTGGACGTTGTTTCATTATTTACTAATGTTTCCGTAGATCTTGCATTAAACGGTATCAATAATAGATGGCATTTTATAGTCACACACAAAGATTCCCAAAAATGAATTCATAGGTATGATAAAATTTATATTAACTTCTACATTTTTCACTTTTAATAACATAACTTACAAACAAATTTATGGGACTCCTATGGGTTCCCCACTTTCTCCGATCATTGCCGATATAGTCATGCAGGACTTGGAAACATCAGTAATTAGTAATTTAAATTGCGAAATGACTTTCTATTTCCGTTATGTAGACGACATTATTTTATGCACTTCCGCTGACAATATTACATATGTTTTGAACGAATTCAACAATTATAACGATAGACTACAATTTACATTGGAAAAGGAGGATAATCGTTGTATAAGCTTTTTAGACATAATGATCAAAGTAATAGATAACAAAATTTATTTAGATTGGTATCACAAAAAGACATTCTCAGGTAGATTACTTTCATTTTTTTCAAATCATCCGACTTGTCATAAAATAGGAACAATTTATAACTTGGTAGATAGAGCTTTATTACTATCACATCCGCAATTTCACAAAAAAAATATAGAGAAAGCTATTAACATTTTGCTATCCAACGGTTATCCTCTTGATCTAATTTTCACAGAAATAAAACGCAGATTAAAAAATCTCTCAACTAAGAAATTTAACAAGCCTAATAATAACAATATAACAGATACTAATAATACTAATACTAACATTAAATATTTTGTCATACCATATATAGAATCAATATCTGAGAAAGTTGCTTCAGCAATAAGA